CCCTTTTTTTTTTTAAGTTTCAAAAAAAAAAAAAAAAAACCCACTTTCCAAATCTGCCCCCACTCCCTCAGGTGATGTTCTTCTGAAGTGTAAATGCTCAATTATGCAAAGATAAGAACATGAGAAACTTTGAAAGCAAAAAAAGGTTACTTTGATTAATGAGTAAAGCTGGGTTAATAATGGATTTCTAGTTTTGTGGCCAAACCAAAGAGGCAACGGGGGAGGGAGGATAATCTAATTGGATGTAGCACTCAAAGTATGAAGTAACATCAGGGACAGGAGAGAAACGCAGAAGGTTGGGAATCCTGTTTGTTTCTCGAGTCCTTCTCTCCCCCGGCTTTTTCTAGCTGTCTTGTGGCAAGAGGGAGTTGGTGATGATGCACAGGTACAAGGAGTGATGCCATCAYTCCTGGGACCAGAGCACTGGCATCACCACTTCTGGTTAGTGGGGGTGGAGAACAGAACAGCTTTTCCTCAGGAAACCTAACCATTTTTTAATTCTATTTATTTTTTGTTACCAAATGTCACGTGTATTGGTAGGATGAACTGTATGTGCATAGCTCCAGTCTGTGCTGCATCTTGCCCCCTGTAGATGCAAGAAGSGGGGTAGGAATTGTTTTGAAGAATGGAATTTAAAGAAAGAAAGATGTGAGGAAGAGTTAATAGTTTCCATTAACTGTTGTCTCTTCTGTGGCATCCACTACACTTTAAAAGGATGCATAGGTACTCCTGTGTATTCCTATATGAAAACAGATATGTGCTTAAAAAAAAAAAAAAGCTGTTAGATGAGTCTGGCAGGGAAGAAGACTTTGGAAATGAAAAGCAAATTGTCATTTGGAAATGAAAAGCAAAAGTAATTTTGTTAGAGCAAGTTTGTTTATGGAGTGTTTGTGGTTTAGAAAACACAAATCATGCATTCAACATGCAGGTATGAGATGCTTTCAAAGACTGGTATTTGTGCTAGCACCATTTATCACATTGTCTGCTTCACATTTGAGCAGCTTAAGCATGTGGTACAATACTAGGAAGCTAAGGTTGAAGAATGATCATTCCAGAACTGCCAAAAGAGAGAGAGAGAGGGGAAAAAAAAATCTAGCATTATGCGTCATGTTTTATTCTCACCACTTAGGTTTCTACTATTTACTGTGGTTTTGTTTCACATTCATTCTTCTGTCTTTCCATTTTTTTTCTCTTCATATTATCTATTTGATTGTCATAGCATGCAAGTCTTTCCTATTATTTCTGTCTTGCAACTATGTATATTACAGGACTGTCATACTGTTGTCCTATATAACTTTGTTGCTTGGTGTGTTTTGTCCCGTATATCTATATCTGGCTAGTTGTCATTCTCAAGTGAGATGCAGTTGTAGAACCACTATGATGATGCTTTTGAGTGAAATGTAGCTGCAAAGCATATGGCTCTTTATGGGCATCTAATAACTTATATTAACGGAGCATTTTAATCTATTTAATTAAAACAGACATATCTTAAGTTTCCTAAACTTTGTGAGGATAATTCAATCTTTTAAAGGCATTTGTCTTAAGGAGGCCCTAAAAAGACAGACACACTGTCTTTTKGTGTCCAGTTCAACAGCTGAAGCCTAAGGCCTTCAACTTAATGCACAAGCTGTTACAAACACTGCATCTTTTGAATCATACCTGCCACAGTCCCACTATCCTTCAGCGTACTTTATTCCATGACTTTTTAAAGTCTGAAAACCTCTAAGAGAAAAACAACT